CACTGGAGCTCAGGGGAAGAGGAGGAGAGACCTATGGAGTTCATGAAGGCAGGAGAAACCAGGATGAGAGAAAGAAAAAACTGCTTAGAACGTTTTGGGCCATGGCTGCTTTAAGGCTGGAGCTGCTGAGCCCATGGAGCAGGAGCCGGCAGAAGCCACAGCTGTGCCCTTCAGATGGAGTTGCTTGGAGGTGGCAAGGGAGAAGAGGGCCTTGGTGGCCCCCAGGACAGCAAGACCACTAATAGGATTTCTGTTGACCCATGCAGGAACAAGGAGCCACAACAACTGAAAAAGGGGAGCCATTCAGAGGCCGGTGAGTCATCGCAAGGTACCAGTGCAGGGCCTGACCCATGGGAAGTGTTTGGAGCACCGGCAGTGTGGGGGATGGGCCCACCGGGAGAACACTGGGACACAGCAAGAACAGCTGATCTGCCCCCCAGTCAGCACAGGACTACTCAGAGGAGACTGGTCGGAAATGCAGAATTGCATGGGGTGCAGTTTGATGAAAAAACTCACACCCAGATAAGAGTTTCTACACAACCCAGGTGCACCAGATCTCTGGAGAGCCAGAAGTACCTATAAGGTCAACCATTAAACCCTGAGCTGCACAAAAAGCCTTCCCTAGGGAAACTGCAGCAAAGCAGCAATTTAGCTCAACCACACAGCTCAAGTACTGGTTCCTGCAGGAAGTTCCCCTGTTTTAGAGGTAAGCAAAGGACAAAAAATTAGTTCTGGCACAGGCACACCACCAGTGCTTTGGTGCTGCCAGGGGACCTGAGGCTTGAAGCCAGGGACTCGACCACACTCCCATATCCAGGCACACTGTCAGCACCTTGGGGCCCGCCCAGGGGCCCGGGGCATGAAGCCAGGGACTGTACCCCCCATCCACAACCAGTCACACTGCCAGTGCCTCGAGGCCCTGTCCAGGGGCCTGGGGCATTGAGCCAGGGACTGGATTCCCCCCTGCCCGTAACCAGGCACACAGCCAGTGCCTCGGAGCCTGCTTTGGAAATTGAGGCTTAAAGCCAGGGACTGGACCCCACTCCCACATCCAGGCCCACCGCCAGCACCTCAGGGGCCCTCCCGGAGGCCCGGGCAATGAGCCAGGGACTGGATCCCCCATCCACGACCAGGCACACTGCCAGTGCCTCAGGGCCTGCCACAGGACCTGGGGCATGGAGCCAGGGACCAGACCCTCTGCCCACATCTAGGCACACTGCCAGCACCTCGGGGCCCTACCCAGGGCATGGATCTGGGGACCAGACTCCCCGCCCACAACCAGGCACACTGCCAGTGCCAAGAAGCATGCCAAATACATCACCTCCATGTGGGTGGCCAACTACAGCCACCACAGTAACCACATCTCCTGTGAAAGTGGCTAGACGTCACAATCACCACACAGATGGTCTGCCAGCCATTGGAGTGCATTGACACAAGGAGAGTCACCAGCAGACATAAAGAAAAGAATAGGATGTCTCTTTCCACAAAGCTCATTCCAGAGTGACAGAAGCATCTGCTCTATGATAATATTGAGGGACCTGAACACATCTCTCAGCATTGGACAGATCATCTAGGCAATAAATCAACAGAGTAACCACTACTCTTTCAGAGGGACAGAAGAAATCTAGAATTATCAGTGGTGGGAGTGGGGAGGGAGAGATTGGATGAGGGGCATAAAGAATAACTACAATTTGTAACAATATATATATTAGTAATATTGATTTGATCAACATGTGTCAACATTGAATCCCCAAAATATGTATAATCAATTATGATTCAATTAAAAAAATAAGACATGCGAAGAAGCAGGAAAATATGATCCATAACCATAAGAAAAATAAATCGATAGACTCAGAAACAACACCAATTATAAAAATTAGTAGACAAAAATGTTAGAAGAACTATTACAAATATGCTGCTTATAGCCAAAAGGTAGAGGAAAGAAGAAAGCATGAGCATGAGAACTACAGAAATGGAAGATATAGATAAGACCCAAATTAAACTTCTAGATATGAAAAATATAATGTATGAATAAAAAATATAGCTGATTAGAAACTGCCATATTTGCAGAAGAAAATTTCTTTTGACATATCTGCAAAAGAAAAGATTAGTAAACTTGAAGACACAGAAATGTAAACTATCTAAAATGGTCTGCCTAGAGAAAAAAAAGACTTTAAAAATGAACAAATCCTCAGTCAGCTGTACGGTAATATCGAGCAAAATAATGCACATTGAATTGGAGTTTCAGAAGGGGGTAAGACATTTATAGCTATAAATTTATCTCTAATTACTGCTTTCATTGTAGTCCACAAGTTTTGATATATTTTTGTCTTCATTCATCTCAAAGTATTTTCTAACTTCCCCTCTGATTTATTCTTGGAGGAGTTATACAGGACTATGTAGTTTAATCCATTCATCTGTGGGTGAACATTTAGCTTGATTCCATACCTTGGCTATTGAGAACAATACTGAAATACTTGAGGGTGGAGCAATCTCTTCAATATACTGATTTCCTTTCCTTTAGATATATGCCCAGTAGTGGAAATGCTGAATCATACGGTAGTCCTATTTTTAGTTTTTTGAGGAACCTCCGTACTGTTTTCCATTATGGCTGTACTAATTTATACTCCCACTAACAGTGTGTAAGAATTCCTTTTTCTCTGCATCCTTGCCAGCATTTGTTTTTTTTTTTTTTTTTTTTTTATAATAGCCATTCTAACTGGAGTAAGATGATATTTCATTGTGGTTTCAATTTGCTTTTCCTCAATGATTAGGTTCTGTAGAAGTCCATTTGGTCTGCAGTGTAATTCAAATCCAATGTTTCTTTGTTGGTTTTCTGTCTGGATGATCTATCTAATGCTGAGAGAGGGGCACTGAGGTTCTCCACTATTATTGTATTGGGGTCTATCTTTCCCTTTAGCTCTAATAATATTTGCTTTATATATCTGAGGGCTCTGATATTGGGTGCATATATAATTGTTATATCCTCTGTCTGAATTAATTCCTTTATTCTTATACAATGGCCTTATTCGTCTCTCTTTATATATTATTTTATTTAAAATATATTTTATCCAGGCAGAGCCCATGGCGCACTCAGGAGAGTGCGGCGCTGGGAGCGCAGCAGCGCTCCCGCCGCAGGTTCGGTTCCTATATAGGGATGACCGGTGCACTCACAGTGCTTACTGGCTGAGCGCGGTGCAGCCGGTCTCAAAAAAGGACAAAAAAAAAAAAAAAAAAAAAAAAAAAAAAA